ATTACCTACGCCATTCTTCAGGTGTAGTGACCCTGACCAACCCTCAAAGGAATCTCGAATAAGTAGTCATGATTCGAACATCTCGCGGTGCTTGAACACATCTCTCATGATCGTTTCCTCTGTTGTGTGTTGGGGCAGGTTGTAGTGACACTCTTAATTACACAAGTGATAGACAGAGCAGGAAGGAAGCCTCTTTTATTGGTAAAGATAAAACCACGAAATATCGTCACTTGGCCCCTACTTATATCTAGACAATCCCAACTCATATTCTTCTTCTTAATCTTCTTTCGAGCAGGTTGCTGGGTCTGGTTTGGTGCTAGCCTGCATGATCATAGGCCTTTCATTCTACCTCAAGGTCTTCACCAAAATAGAGTCCATAAGCTTGTGTCTCTCTCCATGAGTATGGAATGCCATGTTTCTTATTCCCGGTTTTGTTTTTGTTTGCTATGTGAAATAGGTCAATGAATTAGCAATCGAATTCGTCCCCCTGCTGGCTGTAACTGGCATATTGGTAACCCAGACAAAAACTCGACATCTAACTTACACAATCTCACCCCTTCAGTGGAAACCAAAGAAGGTAGAAGGTTGTCTTCTAACAGTGTCTTCTTTGTTTTGTGTTGTAGTTATATATCGGATCTTTTTCAGCAGGGATGGGTGCTGTTCCTTGGGTGATAATGTCCGAGGTAACTGATATGACAGTAAAGTAGTATCATAGGATTCTTGAATCCTTTAACTGGACTGATTTGCTCATTGGTATGTTTGGTGTATTAGATATTCCCAGTGAACATCAAAGGGATAGCTGGAGGATTTGCAACGCTAGTAAACTGGTTTGGCGCGTGGTCAGTATCGTACACCTTCAACTTCCTCATGTCTTGGAGCTCCTACGGTAAGATGACTGAATACTGATGGTAGTTAAGATCGAGTTTAGAGCGTGATTGATTGACTGATGAAATTTTGTGTTTCGCCGGGGTGAGTAATTGCAGGTACGTTTCTTGTTTATGCTGCAGTCAACGCACTAGGCATAGTGTTTGTACTGAAGGTCGTACCAGAAACTAAAGGCAGAACCTTGGAGCAGATACAAGCAGCCATTAATGGTTAGAGAAAAGCTGGAAGTAGAGCTTGTTTTTGTGAGCTCTGGCTGGCAGGGAGCTGAAAAGGAAAATCAACTGATAGGTGGTGAAATAGGGTATCAGTTAATGGCATATCGCTACTTCAATTTTTCTTTTCTTTTATTTGTTGCTAAATTAGTTTGTTCTTTCTCTTCGCTTCACTTTTGTTCTGAATTGTCCAAGTTGTTCTAGAATATATTTAACTAGTGTTTTTTGCCCGCTCATTATTCATTTGTATTTTCTTCTCTTATTTTACAATGGATTTTGTAACATCCCATCTCAGTCTAGCACTACTTTTATCAAAATAACTTTGAAAAGTAATGAATATTAAAATGCAATGCATTGAACAATAGAGGAAACATTACACATTAAACAATGCTGAAAACATTGTTATAACTTCGCTGCTATAGATTGGAAAATCGCCGAAATCGACAAAGCAAGAAAACGAATAAAACAAAAGCACACGACCTGACCTGAATGGTAGTGTAGGGGAGATGGTAGCTTCTAGACCTGACAAATTACGACCTGACCTGAACCCGCCCGAAAAATAGAAGTTTTTATAACCCAAAACCCAAATGACTAGAACCCGAATAGCCCGTGATTTTTTGGGGTCGAGTTGGGTGGGTTAGCGGGTCGATCCGTTAGATCTGTTCCATTTCATATGTCACTCCCAAAATGATAAAGTCACTCATAAAGTGGTGAGATGTTTAAAAAAATTCACAAGGATTTGAAAGACATGTTTGGAGTTTAAGGATAATAAAATATCATGTGTTTCTTATAGTAGTATTACTCTTGTGAGTGATTTTTGACGATTTGTGCAATTTGTGTTTCATTCCATTAGCATGGGAGGATGTGAGAATATGTTAACTGACATCTGTTTGGTAAACTATTGCCATGCATATGGGAAGGTTTGTGTTCTTTAAAAAAAAATATGAAGCATGTTTGATATTGTTTCTGAGAGCGCTCATAACACAAAACGACCTATTATCCGATCGAAAACCTAATGAATTGGGTCAATATTTGATCCGAAATCAGCCTACCCAACATGATCCAACCTGACCCTATTGCCAGGTCTAATAGCTTCTAACCCAGACAGCCCAAAAAGATGATGAGTTGGAGTAAATAACCCACATATGACGTATGAGGCAAGCCACATTCCAACTTATTAGGTCTCTAAACCCCCAATCCTCCTTCCTTCTTTGATAAGGCAACAAACGACCACTATATTTTTGTTTTCTTTCCCTCCTCTGCACTCCATAAGAAATCAGAACAAAGTCTTTCCACCATTTTATCACCTTCACAAGCAAGTGGATACCGAATGATACTAGATATGACAGAAGTAATCAACAACTTCACTGCATAGGATAAAGCCCTCACTCCCCAGCCTCTAATCCTACAAGCCAGAAATATCATAGAATAGGTCTAGGATTTTCTTTGTCACTTCAACTGCATCACAAGATCCTTTCATGAAGATCAACAGATCATCAACGAAACAGAGGTGAGACAGTCCTATTCTATGAGTTTGAAGGTGTGGACAGTGGCGGACCCAGAAATTTTTCATAGGGGTGTCATCTTTTAAAAAATAAATAAAAATAAAAATAATTGATAAAAATAAAATTATAAATATGAAAATACCTTACTCGTTAGGTTAAAAAAAGTCCATGATATGTTTTCATATTCGGAAATAATTGTAGAATACACTTGGTGTCTCTAGTGTTAAAAAAATGGTCTCTATATACACTACTAGCTAGACAATCATTCACGAACTTATCGCATATTCGATTTGTAAACTTGTTCTTGATGTAACCCAAAACTGGAAGACTATTTCAACACTTGTCGTACAATCATAAAATCAATACAAATTAAGGGTAGTTTGAAATTAGTTTAATTGTTAGGTTTTTAAAATAATTAGAGATAGGGAATGCCATTTTACTATTACACATTGTTCAAAATCGAACAACAAATGAATTTAGCTCAACAGAAATTAAGTTTATTATTAATAATAATAGTGTTATACATTTGAATTTTCCAACCTACCACTTATATTCCTATACACAAATGACAGTAGGATAATCATTTTTTCAAATTTAAGGGGTGTCCCTCACTATCAATTATATTTTTTTGTCCATACGTAAATTACCACCGGGGGTTGGATAATCGTTTTCCCAAAATTTAGGGATGTCCCCGCCCTGGGTCCGCCCCTGGGTGTGGAGGTAAAATTTGGACGAATACCAAATCGGTCATTCCGTCCAATTTCATCCAAAAATATGTTAAGTTCGTCCAGTCAACAAGCCACGTCACAAAAAAAAAAAAATCAAACAAATTAAACCAGTCGACCCGACCCACCACAAAGAAGGGTTCAACCCTTCGTTGTCTTCCGCCCACAGATCCCGAGATGGGAATGGCGATTGCTCATCTTCTTCCGCTTTCCTCATCTTATGAACCTAAAATTGCAGATTTTGAGACAAAATCCAAAAAGCAGAGGTGTTTTCTTCAAATTGGAGCTTCTGGCCAGAGAAATGGAAGGCAGAGTCGGTTATTCTTCCATATTCGTACTCTGGAACCCAAACACAGAGAGAAGAACCCAGACGGCGGTTGTAAATCAACGTTCAATCCTTCGTCGGGAATATCCTAGCCTATATATCCTCTCCACTCCGCCAGAAATAGACCGACCAGAGACCCCTTCCCCTCTCTTTTTCGTCGGTGAAAACCAGAGCCTTGAAACCCATAAATTCCTACAATCTCAATCTGTCTCGATGAAACACAGATGCTTCGGTGGGATCTTGTAATTGGAGAAGGACGAAGCTGGAAATCTCCGCTCTCTAACGGCATCGGCGATTTCCTTTTTAAGCGTGAAGGAGAGAGAGCAAGATTTGAGTAGTGAAGGAGGTCTCCCTTCGCTCACCGAATCCTCCTCCCCCGCCGGTTAGAAGGTGAAGAAGAAGAAGGACGTCGTCGTTGAGTTCTGGGTTACTGCAGTGAGTCTTTGCTTCCTTTTCCTTACCACTTTCTTCCCTGTTAATCCTGCCACCGTCGATTGAAGCTTCAGCTCGCTGCAAAGACCTGACACGGTCAATTGAAGTTTAGCTGATGACGATGACTTGTTGACTACCAATGGCGATGGGTAGTGTTTGAGATGATGATTAAGGATGGTGATGATGCATATTATGGGGGAGATTAGGGCAATTATGCTTAATTGATTGAGCAACTGCTATGTTTTAATCAGGCAAAGTGGGTTCACCTTTTGTTTGTGCATTTAGGAAGAAGATGAGGGTACAATCGAAGGGTGGGTGGGTAAGCAACTATGGTAATCGGTTGGATTGTTTGGGTTAATTGGGTTTGTTCATTGATTATTTTATTGATATCTTAACGACATGGCATGCTGATTGGACGAAAGTAAAGTATTTTTGGATGGAATTGGATGGAATGATCGATTTGGAATTTGGTATTCATCCGAAAGACAACAATATTTTCTAGAGACAATCTGAACATTGAAAATGAAACTGCTCTGACTCTTGCCTTCCTCGTCCTCTCCAACAACAGCGTCCAGAAAGCAGCACCCGCTTGGAAAACAATGGAAACCAATGACCGCGCGACATCTTCTATCCGCTTCAGGAGTTGGATTGGATTCCCAAACTCGTCCATCGTCGCTGTTCCCACTCCAGAACGTCACTCAAAAAGAAACAAAAAAAACTTTATAATCCCGTTTTCTGTTTCACGTACTCTGGCAACACACAATCAAATGAGACGAATTTCTATCCGGCATTGTTCGCACCAATACCATCCAAAATCAAGAACATATACCAACTAACTATATCATCGCCCCCACCAAACCCTCTACTTCCCATTCGTGACCCACTCCAAGTTCCTTTCAGTTCTTAACGATTTCCCCTGCTTTTCTTCCCAAAGAAGAAGAACAGGGGAAAACAGGGCATAACAACAATGGGCTCCTCTGGTTTCTCCCCTGTTTTATCATCAACCCTCATCATCACCCTTCTCCTCGTATGTTCCACCTCCTATGGCGCTCCCACCCACCATCCCAACAAGAGAATTCACAACCACCACCGCGTTTCCAGCCACAATTACAAGGACGCCCTGACCAAGTCGATCCTCTTCTTTGAAGGGCAGAGGTCGGGGAAGCTGCCCCGCAACCAGAGGATGAAGTGGAGGGGAAACTCCGGCTTGTCCGACGGATCGGCTGCCAACGTGAACCTCGTCGGAGGGTATTACGACGCAGGGGACAATGTGAAGTTCGGTTTCCCGATGGCTTTCACCACCACGATGCTGTCTTGGAGCGTGATCGAGTTCGGCGGGATGATGAAGGGGGAATTGCCCCACGCCAAACAGGCGATTCGTTGGGCGACAGATTACTTGCTCAAAGCCACTGCACATCCCGATACCATTTACGTCCAGGTCGGTGTTGTCTTGTGTTTTTCTAATCACATCGTGGACTTTCTGTTCAACTGTTCCATGAAACCGTACCGAAGAGCGTATTGGAAAAGTCAGTGTTAGGGTATTTTATGGTAAAATCGTGATTTAACCGTAGTTCAACCATTATACCATTAAATACCGCCTATCGGTTTGACCTCCGATACTGGTATTACGTGGTTGAACCGTCGGTACGGTACGGTTTCATGGACACTGTGTTCAGTTCAAGTATGTTTAGTTATTGTCATTTATTTTTATTTCTAGCAAACAAATATGTTCTTCTGCTTGCAAAGCGGATGACTAACCGACGAAGTAGAAGTGAATCTTGCGTGCAACTGTGTTCTATAATGAAAGTGACTCTGCCCTAATAGAAAATGTGAGCTAGTAACCAGCATGCTTGTTTTCTTTTGTAACAAGATTGGAGAATTTTATGAAGTGACATTTGGGTTCTAATTCACTAAGAAAAGGACTTTGTGTTTTGTCATCAAGGGGGACTTATAATAGCCACATAAGTAAACAAGACCAACAATCACATCTTCAAACCCTTCTAACCGATCATGTTGCTTCTCACTAGGTCGGAGATGCCAACCGCGACCATGCGTGTTGGGAAAGACCGGAGGACATGGACACGACTCGAACGGTCTACAAAATCGACAGGAACACCCCTGGCTCCGAAGTCGCGGGCGAAACAGCAGCGGCTCTCGCGGCGGCGTCCATGGTGTTCAGAAAGAGCAATCCTTCTTACTCCAAACTCCTATTGAGCAGAGCAATGAGAGTGTTCCATTTCGCCGACACGTACCGTGGATCCTACAGTAGCGGCGGGCTACGGAACGTAGTTTGCCCCTTCTACTGCTCCTTCTCGGGTTATCAGGACGAACTGCTGTGGGCCGCAGGTTGGCTCCACAAGGCCACAAAACTTCCCTCCTACCTCAGCTATGTTAAATCCAACGCGCGCAACCTAGGAGCCGATGAATACGACAACATCTTTGGCTGGGACAACAAACACGCGGGCGCCCGAATCCTCCTCTCCCGCTCCTTCCTCCTCAACAAAATTTCCGACTTCGAGGACTTCAAGGACCACTCGGACAACTTCATATGCTCAATTATACCCGGCGTGCCTTCCTATTCCTCTCAGTACACTCCGGGAGGTCTTCTGTTCAAATTGAAAGAGTACAATTTGCAATATGTGACATCGACTTCATTCTTGCTACTAACGTATGCCAAGTACTTGGCCCTTTCGGGCAAGTCGGTGGAGTGTGGTGGGACCCTGATTCGGGCTGGAAAGCTGAGATCAATTGCGAAGAGACAGGTGGATTATTTGCTTGGAGAGAATCCTCTCAACATGTCTTACATGGTTGGGTATGGGAAGAAGTACCCACGAAGGATACACCACAGAGGTTCGTCTTTGCCGTCGGTTCGGGTTCACCCGGGTCGGATTCCGTGCTCCTCCGGATTCCAGATGATGTATTCTCAGTCGCCCAACCCGAACGTGTTGGTGGGTGCGGTTGTGGGCGGGCCGGATCAGGGCGATAGGTTCCCGGACCAGAGGAATGATTATGACCATTCCGAGCCAGCAACTTATATCAATGCACCGTTGGTTGGGACATTGGCTTACCTTGCCCACATATTTGGGCAAATATGATTTTGGGTTGATTAACATCGGGTGTATGCACCACTTTTTTTTGGGTTTATATGTCAACGATCTAATATATAGATTTTGTACGTTAGGGTCGCGGAATGCGTCGAGTACATTTTGATGTGTGCTACTCTGCTTTTTCTAATGTTTCACCCTTGATTGTCACTCAACGGAAAGACCAACATTTTACTACAATTGATATCGTGAGTTGTTTGAAGGTGCATTGAGATTAATATCTATATACCGAGCATGAATTTTGGTTATGAGTATGTTCTACAAATAGTGTGAATTTGGGAGGACAGTGCATTTTATTTATTTCTATTCGCACACACATCCTCCTGTCAGATCATAAGTTGACCCTAACATGCCATATATATTCATTTTAGTTTATACGAAGACATACAATCATTTATACATAAGTTCCAAAATTCTCACGAGGACGAGAACTCCTGAAGGTCTGTTGTAGCTCCTCCCATGCTCTCACTCATCCAACATACACCAAGTAATGTTCCACCTCAAATCATTTCAAGGATTTATTCCAATTACAAGTTTACAACTTACTTGTATAGATTTCTCCAAGATTCTCCAAACTGCTATAAAGTCGGGAAGAAAAATTCAAAATTACATTTTGACATCCATATAGACAAGCATGTCACACAATCTGTTGATCCTCAACCATCTTCCTTTTTCCCCTTAAGAGAATCCAACTAACTAACTAAGCTACCTAGTACCTCTTAGCCCAAAACACATAGTTAACCAGGTTCACCGAGTTCAAAACACAAAGAACCGCATAAAACAGGTCCAACCGGTTCCGGTTCAGGTCGTGCCCACCCAGCCACTCGTCCCCAAACCGGCCCGAGATCTTGTTCGTTAGCGTCACAAGAAGCGAGCTGAGGAAAAAGCCCATCGAAGTAGAGGCCCAAGCCAATGCCGTACACATGCTCCTCATGCTGTTTGGCGCCTGAGAGTAGAAGAACTCAAGCATCCCTCCAAGGGTCAGCATATCCGACACCCCTAGGAACAGAAACTGCCAGCTGAGCCAAAAAACCGACAGCCTCCTCGTCGAGTCGTCGTCGGCCGAGGCCGATCGCCTCCTTTCGACCTCGACGGCTGCAGCCACAGCCATCGAGGCCGAGGCGAGGGCCAGGCCCAGGCCTATCCGCTTGAGCGGGCGGTAGATCTCGAGCCACGCCGTGGCTCGAGATGACTTGATGACGTACTCGTAGAACGGGATGGACGACAGTATGACGACGAGGGAGAAAGCCGACAGCGACTGCGTCGGGATTAGGAATCCGCCGCGGAGTTTCCTGTCCATGACGCTTCCTTGCTCCACGGAGAATGTCTGGAGCTGGGCGAGGCAGCAGCTCATCATGATTGTGCTGCCGAAGATTGGGAGCAGCCGGAGAAAGGACCTTGTTTCCTCCACCTCCGGGCTGGTTACGGTGCCATCAACGGCCGCTTTGTCGAGGAACCTGGTATGATTATTCGAGTAATTAGGATTATGAGAATTATGAAATATGCTAGACATTGATGATATGGTATGGTCGTATTAATACCTTAGTTTGGCCTGAATTATACACATACTTTCTACTTTGGCCCGTGATATTGGAAATTGCTATCTGGTCAGAACTATGTAGCAAACTTCCTCATTTGGCCCGGAGGCGGGTTTGACCATCAAATTAGACGGTAAAACCTGTTGACCGTTAGTCAATATCCACCTCACCTGCCACGTCAGCTTTGAGGACAAGAAAAGAAAATTCAAAAATAAAAAAAATATTTTTATGTCCTCAAAGCTGACGTGGCAGGTGAGGTGGACATTGACTAACGGTCAACAAGTTTGACCGTCTAATTTAACGGTCAAACCCGCCTCCCGGCCAAATGAGGAAGTTTGCTACATAGTTCAGGCCAGAATAGCAATTTCCAATATCACGGACCAAAGTAGAAAGTATGTGTATAATTCAGGCCAAACTAAGGTATTAACCCTACAAGTTAATATAAAATGTGGGGTTATGCGTACGGACTTGCCTGAACTTTTTGCTCATGTCTCCGGCAGCTTCATCGTTGGCAACTACATGGGAGGCTCTCCAATTACGAACCGCTGAACACAAGACCTACGAAAGTTGAGCGAGATTGAGAGATTGATTATGACTCGACCAATATATCAAGTGTTGGAACTAAATTCTAATACGGTATGGCAAAAATTTTCCTTCTTGTATCGAAGTAAAGTTTCAAGAAATGCCACAACTAGCAATATGGCAAGGAAAGGCAGAATATGTGGTTAGAATCAGAAACATGATCACTAGCTAGATTCGAATAATCAGGGTTTGTCACATCACGGAATGTACAACCTTTTAAGCATTTGCAAAAAAATACAATTGAAGTAGAAGTTTAGACAATGCAGGGCATATATATTACACAAAAAAATGATATAACGATGTGTGAATCACTACAAATAAATAGGTACGCTAGGTTGACTTGGTCGAAAATCGATCAATTGATTAGTAGATTTAGTTTACCAATATAGTAACGATGCGTTAGATGTGATATGATGCATTCATAAATTCGGCAGCCCTAGATTATTATTTTCATCATTATTTCCGTGGAGTAAGGGCCAAGTAATTGTGGCTGTGGGTTTTGGTGTTCGGCTAGGGTTAGTATTAGTTTTAGGGTTACTTCTCTGCTATACATATGTACTACTTGTTGCTCCATTCGTATAATCAGTCAATCAATAAACATGTATTCAGAAAAACAATGTCTCGTTCCTCTAAGTTTCTTTATCTCAATCCCTCTAAAAGTCTAGGACGATTCTCAACGTATACGATGCTTGCACCAGCAACGATATCTTTTTTCAAGGCAGAGCATATGGATGGGCATGAAGTATCGAAGATAAATTATTTAAAACCAAAATGCTTAGACAAGCAAAAACAAGTGTATACCTTGAGGATTCTTGTTATTGGGCTTCCGGTGGGCCGTCTGAACCGATAGATTGGGAACCCACTTGCGAAAACGCAGAGCGCGGAGCTCAAAGCAATGAGCGACAGCCTCAACCCCCACTTCCAGCCCAGATTCTCCTGGACCCATATCATGAAAGTCGACGCCACCAGGCCCCCAATGCAGAGCGAAAAGAAGAACCAGTTGAAGAAGGCGGAGATACGGGCCTGGTTCCCATGGTCCAGCTGATCAGCGCCGTGGGCCGGCAGGGAAGCCTTGATCCCGCCGAAGCCCACCGCAATCGCGTACAGACCGCCGTACAGGATGGCCGCCTGAGAAGCCGAGGGAGTTTCGTTTGGCGGCGGCTGGAGCCGGCTCCGCTCGGCTTGGATGGTCAGCAGCATGATTCCCTGCACGTGAGCCGCCACAGCCGGCCTCCATTAATTAATTAATTATTGATGTAGCAAACAGTAATAGAATTATTAATTAATTACCAGGAGTTCGGTGGTGCAGGAAGCGATGAAGGTCCAGAACCTGTTGAGGAAAGAGTCGGTGACGAAGCCGCCGACGACGGTGAGGAGGAAGGAGGTGGCCATGAAATTGGTGACCATGTTGGCGGCGTGGGCGGTGGAGTAGTGCATTGACTTTATGAAATACGACACGAAATTCGTGGCGTTGGACAGGAACACCATGTTCTCCAGCGCCTCCACAACTATTCACACGCCGAGTTCCACGCCAAAACGCACATTTACATGAGTTAATAAATGAGCACTTAATTAAGTAACGTACTAACGTTGTTTAGAAAGAAGAAAAAGAAGGGATTTAGAGAGCTTGAAGCCAGCAGCAGCTACAGCTAGGGATGACAACAAACCTCGAACTCCAAGGGTATCCATCAGGCCCAATTCGGTCAGCACGGGTAAAATACGCGTTAATAGGTTTTGGGTTTAGGTAAAAACGCCTCATGGGTACCCGCACCACACCCATAGAGTTAATTTTCTCGGTATATTTAATATTCTGAACAACTAATTTTATTTATGTTTGTGGAGACATGTCTAAATTTTTTTTTCTTTCTAATTGTGTAGAATGAAGTTGATGTTATCGAGTGGAGGGTGAAGAAACTTAATTGACAAGGAGGAAGAAGCTTTCAATTAATCGTGTTATTTACGTATAATTTGTGATCTGCTTCAATTTTCTTGAGTTTTTCTAGATTGGTGTTGAACAGTTTGTATAGTTAATTTGTGATTTGCTTGAATTTTCTAGAATGGTGTTTTATATATATGGATAATTTGTATCGAGAGATCAATATTTGACTTTAATTTTGATAAGAACTTGTTATTGTAAATTTTTTACGACAAAAACCCGTGGATACCCATGAATCCACAGATACTCAGCGGGTTGGGTTGGGTTTGAGTTTTTCAAACCCAGTGGGTTTGACCCATGATTTTTTTCACGGATAAATCCATGAATTTGGGTTTGGCAAAATCCAACCCGACTCCTCGCATTACCTAGTTGCTTGCATTACCTAGTTGCTTGAAGAGTTGGAAGCCAATGAATCATAATTCGTAAGCAAAACAAGCAGTTATTACAAATCAGACAAAACAGATATATATCAAGAATAAAGACCTACAATTATCTAACTTAGAAAGAGAGAGATAGATACCATACCACAGGTAAAAGCGGCGGCGGAAACCCCGCCGTGCTTCTTAGGATTGGCCGTGTGCCCTCTCCAGTCCACGTACTTCTCTTCTTCCCTTCCAGCTTCCATTTCCGCCTGCAACCAACAAGAAAGTTTTCCGCTCTTTAATTTCTATATGCATGTGTGTGTGTATGTATGTGGTAGAAAATCATCAAGAAAGTTTTTGATTGCACCCACCATATGATCGTCTCTCTTCTTGGCTTCTCTTCTTTACAAGCAAGCAGAAGCAGCAAGGTGGGCGGAAAACGGAAGCAATGAGAGTGAGTGAATAAACTAGGTAGCAATTATGAGAGGGTTGAAAGAAAGGGGCGATGAAATCAAAGAGAGGAGAAGAGGAGTAGAGAAAGGAGTCAGTCGGTCAGTAATAAATGACCAGAAATGGACACAATAGTGGTGGGTGGCCGGAGAGCGAGAGAGTGCTTTTAATGGAAGCTTGAGAAAAAAACAGGGGGCGGAAGGCAGGCTTTGGTAACTGCTCTCCACGCACACTTTGTTATAACCTCATCAGCATAGTTAGTAAAATACGGTACGGGAAAGTTACGTAAAAAATACGTACGGATAATTTACGTTGTCGCTAAGCTAAAGTTATGTTTAATAGTACGTTAATAGCAATAAATATATAAAAAGTAATTGTTTTAAAAATAAATAAATATATAAATAATAGTAAAGTTTACAATTTAATTCATTAAATACGGATATTAAACGTGTTATACGGGTTTTATACGTGTTTAGTACGAGAACCATCCAATGAACGGAAAAAAATGAAACGGCTTGACAATCATACGGATACGGAAGTTTTAAACGGATAAAGTACGTACGGGTACAAATACGTGTATTAAACGGAGTATTTACTAACTATGTTCATCAGCAAGCTGTGTCAACCTATTCTTGGTGACATATATATACCAAAAAAAAAAAAAGCCAACTAGCTAGCTAGCTATGGCGCCTCTCTCTCTCTCTCTTCCTGCCTGGCGTTATAAGTAACTCCCCCGCTATTTCCTGCCTGTTTTACACTTGGCGTGATCCATTTATATCATTCTCTACTTTATTCATGAGCTTTGCCATCCTTGGATCTACGCAGTAAACTCTAATTTGCCAGCGGGATACATGAATTCGATTTATGAATTTACCAATTCAATTGGATTTGAATTGGATTAGTTGGATAATTAAGTGGATGTTGTATTGGATTGGATTTGTGGATTGCCACCTCTAGTCCATTTCAACCAAATTTAATTAAGGAAGACGTTAATGACGATAGATTAAGCGACTCGGAAATTCAAGCTAAAATTTGCAAACTCAAAACCAAAAGCATTGTTCTTTTTAACAATAGTTAAATTTCGTTATCAATATACAAATGCACATTTCACGGAGTGGAAAATCGATAATGTAAAAAAGTAAGGAACATTTTTTTTTTGTGAAAAGAGCACACATATTTACGAGGGGTGTTAGTTAATCCACGAGCAGGAGAGATCAGTTTCATTATATTTGAGTAGACACAGATTACAGTGATGATAAGATATATATAACACATTTTCCAGATGGCCTAACTCTAATCCTAGGTGGAAATGAAAAGATTACAAACCATAACCAAAACAGAAAAACAAATGTGTATCGATTCGACGAAAAATAATCTACCTTCAAGTCATAGTAACAAGTCTCTACTTTCACTTGAATTCTTCCTCAAGATACTAAATGTACTCAGACTATCTCCCACCTCAAAATTCCCCTAATGGGATCAACACCTCAAAACATTCAGCAATTTCATGTAGTGTTCGAACTTGTTATGTTGAACCGACTTCGTGAACATATCAGCAATGCTCACTTTCTTCATCATTTTAGTCCTCTTCTATGTTTACTGGAAATTATACCTTACGTATATGTGCTTAACTAGTTCTCTCATGATGAACTTATCCCTTGCCAAACACTTTGCATTCAGACCGTCACAATAAACTACAACCTTATCATGATATAAACCCATATCATTAACCGGATCTTTCAACCATATTCCCTTTCTAACAGGTTCCGTCATTGCCATGTACTTTGCTTAAATTTAGACGGCAAAGTCGCCTTCCAACTAACCAAAGAACCTCCAATAGTGAATATATAACATTTCATATATCTCCTCGAGTCAACTTATCTAACATGATCGAAATCATAATAACTAGCCAATAAATACCGGATCAGACCCGATTTTTAAGTCCTATTACTTAAGGAGTATCTTAAACCCTTACAAGCTAACTACCCTTTTTTCATCTCGGGAGGCTTTACAGCCGCAGAAGAAGTAGTAAAACAGGGGGAAGGGAGAAGTTACAGAACATGGGAAGTTCCATCAGAATCTATAACGTCCATGGGGAAGGATTGACCTCCGTCGTTGTCGCTCATGATGTGGTGTAGTCCTTGCGGTGGTGAGTTTAGTTCATACTTACCATAGGGATAGACGAGACTGTGCTTCGAGAGTCAGTCCGCGACTCTATTCCCTTCACAGTAAGTATGAACTAGCCTTACCACCCAATCTCGAGCTATCTTGCGTCTGATTGCTGTCAAGAGGGTCGCGTGGGGATGCACCGGGTGATCAGATCTCTTCTCAATGAGTTGTATAGCCATCTATGAGTCGAATTCTAGAACGACAGCTCTGCTTCCCTCTTCCCAAGCCATATCCAGTCCATGGAAGATGCCCCATGATAGACCATTGATTGTACATGTTTTTACCCTTATTCTTGAGCCGTTTGAGATGTTGATTCTCGTGTTTTAAGCCGATTTCACGCTGGGTTGTGTGTTTATGTCATATTTCAGGGCTTGGCGTTGGCATTGAGGCGAAGGAACGAGTTTCGGGTCGACAGGAGCAAGTTTAAGTTGAAGTGTGCTGGAGGAGCAAAATACCCGGTCATGAGCAGAAATATCCGGCCGGGTATTAATCGGAGCAGACCGGGGAAAACCTCTTTTGGGCGTTTGAGAAGCAGAAGGGGGACTCGAGCATTAGGGAAAAATCCCCGGTCAGGTATTCTTGACCGGTGATTAATCCTCTGTCCCCGATGGTGCGTTTCAACAATCCCCGGTCGCCGCCTAAAATACCCGACCGGGTATTATGACCGGGGATCGGGAATGCAGGTTGTTAAAAGCCTGTTTTGTGCATTTTTGCAGGGGAGAGCTGGGTTTTGGATCCCAAACACCCAAGGGATGAACCAAAGAGAGAGAGGGTGATTCGAGGGCATTCTTGGAGTGGAATTGGAGGATTTCTCCGCCTTAGAAGCTCGAGGAACAAGCTCGGACTTGAAGACTGATCATCTAAAGATTCTTACTGCAGTCTCTCTCTTCTCTATGGAGTAACTTCCTTCACTTAGGTTTTGAGGAACCCTAGCTATGTTTGTTTGATTGGATGATTGTATGAGTACTCCTACTTGATAATCTTGAGTTCATATTCAATCTATGCATGTTTTCATGATTCAATTCTGCTTTAGTCGAGATTATTGATTCTGCTTTGATCCTATAAGAGCGAATACCTGATTAGGTCAATAGAGCACCATAGATTGATAGTATTGGATCGATTGCTTTAGTCGAGGGTTGATTCAATGCTTTGTATCGATTGAAAACCTCATTCGATAGAGGGAGTCTAGTTCAGAACGCCTTGATCGATTGTTCTAGAGAAGGATACGTCCCTCTAGGCAATCGACTCAAGAGGGCCTTGATCATTTAGTCGAGATTCAAGGTCTAGTCAAGGATTCTCCGCATCGGGAATGAAAGTGAAACAAGTTAGAAATCATCAATCATTAATTTGGCTAGTGGCTAGTGGCTAGGAGGAATCATACCTAAGTGAGTTCTCAACCTGTAATTAGATTAACTTTAACTGTAGTTTTAGTTCTTCCATCTTAATCTGGTTTGCTAGATAATGAACTAAAGCTGAGTAATAGTAACTCTAGGGACCCGTGGATTCGATATTTATTACTTGAGCCACTATACTGCAGTCCCTTTCATTGGTTACACTTGGCCATTGTTAGGAGTTGTGTCATAGCGAGTCACCCCACAACTCTGCTTGAATGACCGAACAAGTTCCCAGTTTAGAAACAAAGCCTTTGATCCAAAGCCCATGGCGATTCCGCAAGACCCCCCCCCCCCCCAGCAAGAGGAGGAAGCCAGCTAATTTTGCGGGTAATTCGCTGGGCTGGGCCTGCTCGGGCGCCTAGAATGTCTTGGGGGCCATCCAAGCTTTATACCACAATGTTGCTTTGATCTTAGTGCCTTGAGTCAGAGATGGTGGTGAGAGAGTCTTCTCAATGCCCTTGAACACCCCTTCATTCCTGTTCTTCCAGAGGACAGGAATAGAATAAAATTTTACAATTAATGTCATCATTAATAAAAATGGGACATTAACCACGTCAACCAACTAGTTTGATCTAGCGCTATTCTTGTCTAGTCACACTAGGCAGCTAAAAAATGTTGGGCATATCCATTAATCCATCGCTATTTATGTGTTCATATATATTGTTGTTACCGGCGAATCCAGAACATAGTAGAGCATTGGCGGCATTTAAATAAAATATTATATATCATAAATAAAAATATATAATAAATATAGTTTTCATTACAATGATAATTGTACAAGAAGGTATTATAATTTAGCAAAACCATAAATAATAGAATCTAGTGCAACACTCAACCAAGGCAATCTAAAATCCTGACCCAGTAAGTTTGTAAATATTTTCTTAATCAAAAGGCTGGAAAGAAAACCAGCGCTTGGTGGACTGACGGAGGTATCCATTTCGGGCCTGTTCGACTCCTCGTTCTTATTTTGTTTTAGTGGGGTATTCGGGAATTTTTTTGAGTTTTGCAGAGAAGGGTTAGCTTTCATCTAGAGTTTTTTTTTTTAATTTCAATGAAAGACTTTTAGGTTGTAACATATTTTTTTTCAAATAAAAATCATTAATGGCTAGAATATTTAGTCTAAATTTAGAGTAGTGGTTTGAATATGTTCATTTGAACCATTTTTCTAGTTACAGAAAATCCTATTATCAATTAAAATTGGACCGAATTTTAAATAGCATTGGGCCGAATACCTAAATCGAAAATTTTAT